TTTGCTGTGGCACAAGGGTTGGGGGTGAGTTTTGGGAGTTATGGATGATGTAGAATGATAGGTTTATGGGTTGGATGAATGTAGGGGTTGGCTAGGTATGTTTCTGGGCAGAAATTAGGGTGAATGGTGGTAGAATGGTGCGGTTGAGAGTGGAGGCTAATTTCTGACGTGAATGGATAGTAGATCAATCTTTTGTGGCTGCACAAAGATGTTTATTTAAAGGGATTTCAGGAATTAAAACCCTAGGTTAATTAGGTAATCAGAAATTAAGTCTAAGGCTTCTAGAAATAGGAAACAAAATCAGAAACTTAAGGGAAATTGACTAAGAGGTGCGGCTAGGGTATTTATTCAGGAAGTTTAGAATGTTTTTAGGTTAGGAAATATTTTAAGTAACAAATATTTAAGTCAAAACCTAGAGGGAAAAGTAAAACAAGGTCAGAAACTAAGGGAAAAGGCAAGGAAATATGCGGCACTCCTTAAACTAAAAGGGAATGTGGTTTAAATGCAAGGAAATAGGGAAGGTGGGCTTTCCCTTGCACGGCAAGGAAGACAAGGGTTAGGGAAAGTGTGGAAAGGGTATGTGAGGTGCGGCATTAACTTGGACCATGCAAGAAATGTGTGCTTGATGTCCTAGAGTGCTTAGGAAATCTTCATAGTTGATGGAACATAAGGACATTTAGGAAAAAATCAAACCAAAGTAGGAAACCTTGGCTTAACTTTCCTACTTCAATTAGGAATCCTTCTTCAAGTAGGAATCATCATCTTCAAGTCTTCAAATTCGTCCAAACCCTTGGCTCCAAATATGTGACATTCATTCCAAGCTCCATTTTGCTCCAAAATGCTCCAAAATGCATCTTTTTATATGCTTTGCCCTTAAAACCTGAAAACACATAAAACTAGCTTAAAAGACTACTTTAACTAAGAAAACACCATGGAAATGCATAATAACTAGCTAACTAAGGCGCATAAATATGCTCCTATCAGGAATCCTTCGTCGATTAGGAATCCTTCGTTGATTAGGAATCCTAATTTCTTCAAGTCTTCAATTCATCCATTCCTTTTGCTCCAAAAGGCTCCAAATTACATCATTTTGCACACTTCGGCTTTGGAATCTGAAAACACACAAAAGTGACTTTAAACACTAAAATAACTAAAGAAACACAACGTAAATGCACGAGAACTAGCCAATTAAGTCGCATAAATATGCTCCTATCAGAGACAAGAATTGAATTTGAGAGGTTAATTGAATACCCTTGAGTTTTAGAGAGAGTATAGACTTGAAATTTCATAGAACATATAAAAAAAAACGCCAAAAAAAAATTACTTAGTGTTCAATTTTGAATCCATAAAAAAACTTTAATAACTTTAACTAGAGTTATAAATAAAAAATTTATTAATTCAAATCAATATATCATAGTTAAATGTGTGAGTGTTGTACTATAATATTTTTTTAATAAGTTAAAAAATAATAAAATATTAAGAGAAATAAATATTGCTCCTGCACTGTTGGGGATAAAAAATTATAGCCTGCACTATTTTTTTTAAATTATATTTTTAGTTGCTTTATTTAAGAATGGTGGCAAAATGTAGCCAAATCATTGGAGACGTTCTAAGTAGGTGTGATTGAACATTAGACCTGTAAACGGATCGAGTTTACTAGGTTTGCGTCGAGTTCAACCAGACCCATTAAGTTAATGGATCATCCGAACCCAACCCGTTAAGCTAATGAGTCACCCATTTCAACACGTTTCACGCATTAACCCTTTTTTTTCTTTTTTCTTTTTACACTGTGTAAGAAAGAAATCTTAGCATCCTAGTGCTTGTGCTAGCCACCTCCTTCTTTCATTTGGTTTGTGTGAGTGATTTGATGAACACCTGGAGCTTTATTACGAAACAATTGAGTGAGCAATGATGTAACAAAACAACTAAGTGAGCAATCAGCATATAATAGAGTTTTGTATTAAGCTACATCAATCAGGACATTTTGATCACAACCCAATTTACGATTTAGCATGTAGATATGAATTATTGACATGTAAGAGAGAGAGTTGGTGAGACGTGCATCAATCGATCAGCATGTGCACACCAAAACATTCAGGAACCAACAAAAAAATCCAAGACCCAAAAATTTTCTGCAAATTCTAATCAAAACCCAATTCCCGAGAGGCCAAGACGAAGGACGCTCACAACTCCTTCACCACTCAGATCCTTCAGCACTCAGCTCCTTCACCATGGAACAAAAAGTAGCTCTGAATTCTAATAAAAAAACTGAGAAAAATAGTCGAAAAATATGATCTGCAGAAACAAAAAGTAATTGCCATGGAAGAAGAGGTGAAAGGGAATCATAACTTACCGGAGAGAGGGTGGCAGAACTCAATGAAACCTTGATTTTTAAGGAAGAAGATGAGGGAGAGAACGGCAGCCCCGAAGAGGAACGTGCAGTCTGAGTTCGAAACGTGAGCGAGGTTTTCTATTCCAACTATGAAATTACACAAAAGTCCTCCCTAATGGGTGTTAACGGGTGCTAACGGGTTTCACGGGTTGACCCAAAATGACCCGTTATTTAACGGGTGACTAATGGGTTGACTCGTTAACAACACAACCTGTTAAGCACCCACCCAAATACTAATTTTAACGGGTCGAGTCGAGTCGGGTTAATGGGTCGGGTTCAAAATGCCAGCCCTACTGAACATGTATGTAGAAGAGCTTTGGTGGGAGTTAAGGGAGGAAGGGCGAAGTGGCGGAGAACGGAAATGAAGAAGAGACTTTGGTGGGAGTTGAGGGACAAAGGGCGAGGAGGCGAGGTGGAAATGCGGTGGTGGTGGAGAGACAGCGAGGCAATCACCTTTAGAAGTCGTCGTATCTTCATTTGTTTTTTGGGTACTGTTATTTCTTTATTTTTGGTTCAAAAGTAAATTTGTTGAGCTGAACAAAATGTCATTGTGATTAAGTTTGGATTGTTTAACTATATTTGAGCTCGAGCTTGGCGTGACTTGCTTCTTATACGAGCTGAGCTCAAGCAAGCTTAAAAAATTCGAGCTTGATAGTTAGCTCAAGATCCATTATGCATATTGTCTCTTCAAAAGCAATCGAAGGATATAGAGCTAGTTTGGTATTGCTATGCTTTAAAAAAAAAGAAAAAACTGATTTTGTTGTGCATACATCAAGATCCAACGTTACGAATGCATAACAGACTATCTACATCAAGATCCAACATTATAAATGCATAACAGACTTGTTTGGCTAACTTCTTTTATATGCATTGCTATTACCTTAATAGCAAGTCCACCCTTAACAAATGAGCTGGGCAATAGGCCATTTTAACCCCTAGCCCCCAAAAATCCACTCCACCCCTTCCAATTAGCTGGCCCGGCCACATGTCCACTTTTGGGCTATTAGATTTCAACCTTTTTGAAATCCATCGGTCCAGATTAATTAATTTAATAAAAAAATTGTTTAAAAATACAGAAAAAATAAAATGAACTTTATTTTTTATTTTTTATATAAATGCCTAACCATCTTGCACAAAAGTTGTACTTTCAGATAATTATACTTGGCGCGATAAGATTGGTTAAAAATCCTATCCGAAATTAAAAATAAATTTATTTTTTTTCTATTTTATAAAAAAAAACATTAATGATATTTTGATACGAATTAACTAGACTATTTATTTTAGGAGTAAAGATGCATTTGGACAATTACTATTCATTTCGTGGATTGAATAAGACTTTTGCCCATCTTGATTTTTAGAGTGGAGTTGCTCTATGGGCTCAATGGCGGACTTCTTTTACATGCACGTTTTTTACACTTACTGAAATTCTTTCAAAACTATATCCTTGAGATTAATGAACTTTAGGGTAACAACCACTATATTTGTAAGTAGGATGCTGAAAAATTAGACAAGAACGGACAAATAGATAAATAGTGGCATGATATAACTCGTGCAGAAAAGGTCTAGCTTCTTATCTTCGTACTCTACCTAAGAAAATAGCTCAAATATTATATGATGCTTCATCAAAGAAGATGTAACATTTTAGATGAGCCTAGGGCTGGTTTGGGATGGGATCCCGTACCGAAACCCAAACCAATAATTTTTGGGACGGCATTCTAAAATTCGAAACCGAACCGAAATTTCGGAATTCCCAAATAATTTTCGGGATTTCGGGGCAATTCGGGATTTGTATAAACCACCCAGAAAATTCATAATTTGTATAAGCCCAGGGATTTCATACCAATTGCAGAAAATTCAAATTTCAGAATGGCAAAGTTCAACGAAATTGAACACACTGCAAGCTCAAGAAAGGGCTTTTTTTCAGAAGCAGAAAATTGAGGTAGAAGAACGCAGACGTTGACCAAGAAGGAAAAATGGGGTCTGATGCAAGCAGAAGCAGAACAAGAAGGCAAATCGAGAGGGATCCGAGAGGTTACAGGACTAAACTAAATCAAAAGCAAAACTAAACCTAAATCCTTTATTCCTTTATTCCTCTTTCTTTCTGCATACTTTTCCTGTCTTCTCTCCTTTCTTGAAACCCACCAAAAGCAAAGCTAAACCAAAAACATATTCAAACAAACAACAAAACTCCAACAGACCTCACTAACACCTCCCACGCTTTGCAGCTGGCTTCTTATCACCCCATGCTTCCTCCTTAGTCCTCTTTCTTCCCGGGACTTTGCCATTCACTCCTGAGGTCAGGCGAAAGAGAGCGAGGGTTTCATTTGGATTCAATGGTTGAATCTCAACCAAATCTGACGGCAGTTATAATTCTAAATATATATTTAAAATTAAATAGTATACAACAGGATTACCGAAAGAATGAATATGGAATCCCGAAAATTTTGGTATTATCGGTTTGAGATTTTTTTGGTATGGAATTGGGAATTTTTTGGTTTGGTTCGGGATTTTTGGGAAAAATTTCCAGCCCTAAATGAGCCTACGAGAATCGGGATCAAAGTAGAATATGATGATTAATGATCATCTTACTGAAAAAGGGAAAAAGAAATAAAAGAGAGGAAACATGCCTTGTTCATTACTTATGGACACAACCCAATTAGTAGAGTTAAGGTAAGGTATATGAGAATTCTAATGGATGATAGACAAGCACCACCAAAAGTCTCAACAAAGTTATATACATAAAATCCATTATGGATGAAAGCCAATAAGACTCAACATTGCTATTTTCCACCCGGAACACAGAAAAGCATCAACAGAGATAAAGTACTTAAAAAGACCACCTGTTTCAATGCGGAGAAGTTGAGTACTGTTGGTTACCTACCACTTCTCAAAACTCATGACCCCTTTCAAGTTTTCTGAAATTTCCAAACTCTCCATCTAACATTGCTTAGCCATCCAAATTGAATCAAAGGTTGTCCTGCTTGCAGCTTCAAAAGATGAGTTCTGTACGGAATAAGTAAATTCCTGAGACCTGCCATTCATGGCAGCACAAAAACAGAACAAACACTACAGATCAATCTCCATTAACAATGCGTGTATATATATGAGAAATATACACCAAGCCAAATATGACTTTTTTAAAAAAGCCAAGGCAAATGCATACCTGTGGTGCACATTGTCTTATAAAGGTGAGCAATGCGGGCATCTCCTTTAGTACTCATATTTGGCCTCTCAAGGCAGTCCAGAAAAGCTAAATCAGCCTTCAGCAGATCAGCCTGATTGTGACTGTCGTAACCAATGTCATGGCAGTAGCAACAAAAATCCAACCAATCAATTGGCCGCTTGTCCCAAATAGGAGATCCTCCATCTTTCCCACTTGACCAATTAGGTCCACAATAATGCCCATATCTTGGAAATAGCTGAGAGAGAAAACCTCTTACGCCAGTATGCCATGGAACCCTAGAAACATATGGCCTAAATCGCAAAGATGTACTGGGATCCCCATTCTCAAACACCCTGCGAGGCTGTGCACGCCTTCTTAAGCCGCGGTTAATAGTGGATGGAGTTCGAATCTTATCTTTAGAATTGTCCACCAGCCATGGAACAAAGGAAAGAAGGGACAATCCCAACAACTTGACATCAAAACCACCCTTTTGGTTAGGTTGCTCGAAAAGGGCAGTTGTTGGTTTAAGACTTGGTTCCAATTCCAAATCGCTGTTTGATTGGGCCCTAAACCAAGGGAGATTACCAAGAAAACCCAGGTTCATTTTGGTCAGGGTTGCAGCATATATTCAATTTGAGCCGTCAACGAATTTGCAAAGGTCTATCAACAAAAATTCGCACACCTGTACTGTTTCTGCATAAAAACACAAACCCAATTCAACCACACAGAACCATTTTAGCACTTATACTTTTGGGGTTTTGAGGAAAACAGTTTAGCACTTTTTGCATATAACCCATATTGGTTCGCTGCTATATGCACTCCACACTCAATCTTCCCGATAGAATTTAACATCTACTGAATAGAAAAGTTCAATGTACGCTGCGTTTGGTTGCTGGGAAAGTGAGGGAAAATTAAAACGGAAAAAGCAAGAATTTTAAACCATGAGAAAATCAAATCAAGACGGGAAAGTTGCACTAAATTTACTAGCCTGCCAATTGAGTAGATGATAATAAGAATTAAGGCAAAGCGTGAAAAGGGAAAATTATAGGAATGCAGGAATTCGACCTTCCTGGGCGTTTTCTCGGCAGCCAAACAGAGGCAAAGACAAGAAAATTGAAAAAGTAAAGATGAGATTCAGTTATTGTATAGGGAAAAGGAGACGCACCTGCACCGGAAACTGCAAAGATTCATCTACGAAACCAAACGATGAAGATTGAAACGGAGAAAAGGGCTTCGGAAATCAGAGGAATGCGCTAACAATTTGTATGGCAGAGGCTTCTCGAATGGCTTTCTATTGAGGCGTGTCGTGTAAAATTGTGGTGGCCAGGACGACTTTGGATTGGGCTAAAATCATACTGACCTTTAAAATTTGTTCTTACAGACACAAGCAAAGAAGTCAGTGAAAATTTTCGAAATCTACAGTAATTTTAGGTCGTAAGATCAAATTTTAAAGGACAGGATCATTTGATTCTTGGCTCTGAATATATAAATCCGGAGAAGATCTCTTCTTAATAATTAGGACACCACTATTCACACATTAATTTGTATGTTTTATATAATTTTGTTATTTTTTAATTATTGATCTTCTTCAATTTATTCTATCTAACGTTCGAAAAATAAGAAAAATGTGTGAGAAATAAAAATATGTATATGGATAGTACTATCTAATAAATGCCAATTAAATAAAAGGAAAACTAATGAAAATGATTTGAAAACTTTGAGTTTTTACGATAAGGACAAAATAAAGGGTAAATTGAATAGTACCAGGATTGACCTTTTAGTGTAAAAATGTGGTTTTTCATTAAAGTGAACGGTACTGGGAGTTTTTCGTTAAAATTCACTTGAATAAAAGGTATTTGTAGATTATTTTAAAAAAAACTTATAAGAGCAAGTCTATTCGTTTAACGAGGGCAAGGGAAAGGCAAGGTAAAAGGCACGTAGGTAGCTCTTACTATTTACTCTGAATAATACTTATTTTTGTGCAACTCCACTATTTTGAAAAGGACAAAGTGCAAAAGTACTATTCAAAAATATATTTTTTATGCTTTGAAAATTTGTTCTGTGGAAATAAAATGATTGTAGTACAAATGAATATTGAGTTGTGATGAAAAAATGTTTGAACTCGATTTTGCATTGCCGTCTGATTTTGCACGTTCAACTCAAAATAATTGTTAATGATTTTTAGAAATATTATTATGGCTTTATCTTGATAATTATTTCTAATGGACGATATCTTGAAATCATTTTTACTATAAGATGGACAAATTATATGGGACTTTGACGTGCAAGAATTGGTAATCTGATAAGGATGACTTGAACAATGGAATGATTAGCACGGACTCTTGAAAAAAAAAAATGTAAGAATAACAAAATGAAACAAAGTCAGTCTGTCTAAACACTAAAAGCCTCAACAGCATGCTGCTTGAAAACCGTCACCTGAACTTTAATTGTTTTCGGGTTAATTTAACTTACACCCCATAAGGTTTATCGTGTTGTCATAAAAACCCCTCAAGTAGTTTAAAATTTTGCTATGGGGGCTCTAGGGTTTTTGGGAGCGAGGCGCAGTAGGCGCTATCGTGCTGATCTCTAGGATACACCGTCGGTCGGGATCAATTGGAAGGAAGTTGAGTGGCTTTGGGGTAATGTGAGATTTGATGATTACGTGTTGGGTAAGTTCCTAGAAAACCTAATTGGATGTTTGATAATTGGGAAAAAGTTAATCATGAGCTTGAATAGGGTAGGATGGTTTGATAATTGGGTACTAGTGGAGTGGGGAAAGAACCCCAAGGAGACTTTTGAACTGATGTATTCTCGTTTCCCAAGGGTTAGAAGGGTTCGGTGGTGTTTGGCGAAGTGGTATGATTTGTTAGGGTTTTTAGGCTTCTCAACTTGGTTAAGTATTGCTTGCTGTGTTTTCTACTTTTTAATTGGTCTGTGTGATTGGCTATGTTTTTGCTTTTTGCTTTTTTGGCTTGTGCTTTTTGGTGACTTTCTGTGTGTTGTGCTCTGGAGAACTTGTTGCCTCTCACTTGAAGTGATTGAGTGTATCTTAGATCATTACTGGCTTTACTTGGGGTGTTGGGATGGTTTAACTTCCCTTGGGGTTTGTTCTCCAGGGAGACAGTTAATCTTTCCAAGCTCAGACTCATTTATTTTGATTGGAGCTAGACTGATTACCTTGGAGTGTCTAGGTCATGGCATCTTGCACACGGATTTCTTTCCCAGGTTTTGGTGGTTTTTCGTAATTATGACCTATGTTATAGGTCTTTTAGCTTTATTTTGCTTGTTTAGTTTCATTGTGTTAGTAGGGTTTAACAGTTGGTTCCCCCATAAGTGGCTCTATATATTTCAACCTTTGGGACTTTTGTTCTCCCCACAAAACTCCCTAGTTCTAATCCTCTCCTTTCCTAGTGCTTTCATAATGACAAACCCGCAACTTGCTGCTTCCTCTTCCAATAATGCCCGTAGGCCTAGAATTTGCTCGGAGGGTTATATCCCGAGTTGGGAGAACCCTTTTCCTTTTCTTCAACCTGGGACTATGGAGTGTGGTGTGACTAAGGTTAATACCCACCTTTGCTCATTCATCAATGTTGAGCATATACTTTCTAGGGTACTTAAGGGGAAGATGCTTGGTCAACCACTTGATGCTCGCTTGATCAAGTGGAAGCTGAGACTCTTATGGAAGAATGAGGTGAAGAGTACCTTTTATCTTGATCACTTCGGCAAAAATGGTTTGCTCTCGAGTTTACTGATGAAGATGATAAAAAATTTGTCATCAAGAATAGGTCGTGGTACGTGCGTGGCCAAATCTTCCATCCTGAAAGATGGACAACAAGCTTTAAGGATATTGATGTCATTACCAAGTTGGTTGTGTGGGCGCGTTTACCTCGGGTCCCGGTGCAATATAAAGCGGAAAAGATTATCAAAGATATTACTTAACCTATTGGATGAATAATTAAAGTGGATAAAGTGACGTTGAGATTGAATGGACTATTTGTAAAAGTTCTGTTAGAGGTGGATTTGCATTTTCCCCTTAAACGCGTGCTCATTGTCAACCATGGGGAAGATTATCCAATCCTGAGTTAGCTATGAATTTATTTATTTATTTTAAGGTTTGTTTCCATTGCGGAAGAAGAAGGATTGAAGGACATGTGTGTCCGGATTTTTGAGGATGAGCCGTCTATCTACCTGGAGGATGTGATTATGGATGAGGATGTCAAAGCCTGCTTACAAAAGGATGTGATGCTTTGCTTTCCCAATGCTACAATTGTGGAGGATGAATTTACTGAGTATGAGGAATCTGGACAGCGAGGGGATGATGGGGGCCCGGATAAGGAGGGATGGACTATGGTGATTCCAAGGTGGAGGAGAAAAGAGAATAAGAGAAAATTGGGTGATAGTTCTAGGGAAGATAGATCGTATAAAGAGGTGGTTGCCAGCTCGAAGCCAAAGTGGGTGGCTAAGGCAGACTTGGTGCAGGATTGGAGGAGAACTGGGAAAGTAAAGAACATGATCAACATGTAAGTGTAGGGTTTTTAGATTATCGGGGCATTGATAGATTCAAATTTCGACTAGTTGTTAATTTCATTAATGATTGGGTCTTGCCTGATTATGTTGTGTTTGATGATCTGTTTGATTTAAATCCCCAATTTGATTCTTATTATGCTAGTGATCTTAGGTTAGGCAAAATAAATTTCTTTGATGCCATGTGTATTTTGGAACAAAATCAGGATGTTATGATGTCAAATGTGGGAAGTGGTGATATTAAGGCTAGGGAGAACTCTGAAAGTTTTGTTGTTGCAATGCTTGCGACTGAAGCAACTTCAGCAAATGCTAGGCCAACTGTGGGAATGTTGAGTCCGCGGAAACGCATCCGAGAGGAGAATGTCGATGAGGTTGGACCATCTGCGTACCTTGATGAGCTAGATTGATGAAGGGAAATGTGTGGAACTACAGGGGTATGGGAAGACTAGAGTTCAAGAGTAATTTTAGTTATCTTTGTAGTTTGGCTAAATTAGATTTCTTTTGTTTTGTTGAAACTAAATCTGATGCGGAAAAGGCCCCTGTTAGTTGTTTTAGTAGGTGTTTTGATCAATTTTTTGGTTGTAACCCCGAAAGGAGATTTGAGGGAGTCTATATTTGTTGGAACTCTAGCATGATGAATGTTACTGTACTTTCTGTCTCTTCTAGATTTATTCACGCTTTAGTCAAGGATGTGTGCTTGAACATTGAATTTTTTGCTACTTTTGTTTATGTCTTTCCCTAGAAGTCTCTTCAAGAGAATATGTGGGATGAGTTATTAGGTCTTAACCCCGTTGATAAACCCTGGATGGTTCTAGGTGATTTTAATTGTATTACTAGTATTCAGGAAAAATGGTGTGGAAATCAGAGTGGAAATATTTATATGACAAAGTTTGTGAATTTCTTAAACAATGCTGGCCTTATTTCCTTACAAGCTTTCAGTGTTCCTTTTACTTGGACAAATAAACACATGGATGAAACACTTATTTTTGAGAGATTGGATAGAGTGGTTGCAAATTCCTATTGGCTTGAAATGCACCTAAACTACTCCCTCCATAATCATCCTATCATGGGTTCATATCATAGTCCTCTTTTATTGGACATTGTTGGCTCTCAAATTAGGCAACAAAGGCTTTCAAGTTTGAGGCCACGTGGAACTTACATCCGGACTTTAAAAGTTTTATGAAGGGTGCTTGGAGTTGCAGTGAAGGGATGTCTCCTATAGATCATTTTAGGGGCTGCTTAGGTAAGTTCTCATTCCTTGTTAAAAATTAGAACCGTGTGGTTTTTGGTTCAGTCAAAGAAAGAAAAGAAAAGATTTTAAATGATCTTGACTGAGTTCAGCAGGAAATTATGTCTTTTAATGACAATTCAAATGTTACAAATACTCTTCTTGATAAAATCCAATTAGAGGCTCATATAAATGAGCAACTTACTAAAGTTCTTAAGGAGGAAGAGGTAATGTGGGCTCAAAAAGCTAAAGCCAATTGGCTAAAACATGGAGATAAAAATACAAGATTTTTCCAACTGAGTGCCATGATAAGGAAGAAGTGTAATGAAATCAACAAGATTAGGGATGGTAATGGCCTTTGGTGGGTTAGAGGAGAGAGCATGGAACAAATGTTTGTGCAAGAGTTTAAAATGCGGTTCACTAGAGGTCACAATCCTACCAATGACCAGCTTAGTTTGGTTTTTCAAGCTATTGATCTGTGTATATCAAATGATCAAAATATCATGTTAATTGCTATTCGTTCAAATGATAAGATCTGGAATGCTATTAAGGTTATTGCTCTTAAAGCCCCAGGACCATATGGTATCTATGCTAGCTTTTATTAGGAGTGTTG